GAGGGGAGGCGAGCAAACGACGCACCGCATGACTAATAAAGTCAGAAAGACGCGGAGGTGGGGGGTTAAAACTGAGCAGGCGTGCCGCAAGGAGAACGATGCGAGGGGCTTTCACGAGGAGGACGAGGAGAGGCAAGGTGCAAAGAACAGACAGGATGGAAAGATGAACAGCAGGAGGGGTTTAAAAAGTTACAGCAAGGAAAATGAGGGAGAAGTTGAAGGACGAAAAATTAAAGCCCTCTCCACACTTAAATGGATATTTTTCCACAGCTGACTTTTTAAAATCACAATAAAACACATTCTGATATAAAAACACATATTTGAAGAAGTTTTTATAAAGCGGAACTACTTTGGTGCATCCGAGTTGACCAAACCAACAGAGTTAGAAAAACGCTGACACAGCAGCCACTTTTCCACACGCTTCACTGTGAGGTGTCAACTCCAGCGTCACAGTGCAGTGCATTCTGGGAAGTAGCACCGAACCTTGTCGCTACGGCAGGGTGACACTTGAGCAAGAAAACAGACTGTAAGTATGAAGAGAAAATGTCAGAAAGGCTAAATTAATCATGAGAAGTTGTCAAAGGAGGCGACACGATAGTTTAGTCTTAAAAACAAAATAACCGGTAGCTGATTGACGTGTGTACGATCCTGGCCCTCGAGGGCCACTATGCGGCACGCTTTATTCGTTTTCCAGCTCCAACACACCAGATTCAGGTGCAACAACAGGACAAAGGCTCAGATTTACCAGCTTTTTACCAGCCTTGAACATTACCTTGTGAATTTGGAGCAAAGAAAGTCTCAAAAATCACCTTCACAGGCAAACTCAGCTGTGCTCGTGTTATGGTTTAGGCCTATATGGATTTTTCAAACAATGTGCTCCTGTTTTCCGCCATTCCCACATGCGTTGGTGGCCTTAAGCAAGACAACCTAAATCCTAATTGCTCCCTGGATGCTTGAAAAGCTGCCCACTGCTCCACCTGGGTGTATCTCAGGTGTTACGGGTTAAATGCAGAGAACTAATTTCTCCATTGAATGGGAACATACAATGATAACACACAGCACTTTACTATAGTCCTGACCTGCTACTACCATTAAACAGGCCTTCATGTGTTGTGCACAGTGTTAATTTTTCTCTATAATAATTATGCATTCAAATAACCTGAAACTAAATACTAGAAATACGGAGCTACAAGCACCTGAAAACTATTTTGTTAGCTGCAAGTAATTATTCTTTAATTTCCTATAAAGAAAAAAACCCCAGAAAAAACAGCAGCTTATGACAAAGAACCCCGTGACCCTAACATCACGTTACTAATTAATTCAACCTTTATTTAGACAGGTTAATCCCATTGAGTCTCGGGGACTCATTTACAAGAGAGACCTGATTTTTTTTTAACAGAGTGATGATAACAGTGGACGTCGGTGTAGAAAAATAAAAACAGGAACATGTCTGCATTGGTTTTTGCCATGAACTTAGATGTTTGAAGCCACTTAGAGAGGTCAAGGTCGAGAGATTCAGATCTTTTTGCAAGATATTCTTGGAAATGGGAGTGGAGTAGGAGAAGGCCCTTTTTCCTAGTTCAGTCCGCACTGAGGGGACACTGCATGTAATAACGTCCTGAGAGCGCACGCTGTAGCTGCACTCACGCAGCGACATGTAGGAGGAGATGTAATGTATGAACCAAGACAAACGCCTTGACAACCCTTAGGTAGTGTTAGAAATATTTTATCTAGATCCCTGGGTTTTAATATGCTCAGAGACGGATTGTAATAAGATTATGACCCGGTTCTGATCGGTTTAAACAGGGACAGCGACTCTAAAAATAGTCTCCCAGGGATTCAATATCCATCAAGGAATATATTTTTTAATTTAACACAGAAAGGCTTTATGTACATTGTATCATTTTTCCTGACACATAAGATCATAACATAAGATCCAATGAGATCACACTTAGTCCGCCCCTCTATTCACTTGATAGGCTGCGCTCCCGGATGAAGGTGGAGCCTCAATAGATTTGTAAGGCAATGAGTCATCCGCCCGTTCCGGTCCTTGATCTCACATCGAATTGTACCTGACAGGCCAGTGCTGTAAACTAACATTTTCCTGCCTTGATTTAATACAATTGATGAAACTGAATTCACGTTTCCTTGATTTATTGAGATAGTGTGAGTTACTACTTCTGAGGGAGTCTGAGCTGGGAGCCTCCTGAGCTGGAGGTAGACCTTGGGTCCGAGATAAGACCCGCAGGGGGGGACACAGCTTGTGACAGCTTGGTGCCGTAACCCAGATTTGAACCGGGGTTGCTGCGGGTACAGCCAAGTTGCACTGTCACAATGTCATTATTTAACAAAGGACAAATGAACACAAACAAAAGGAGGAAACAGCTGAACGCTGACCTGAACTAAAGCACCTTGTTTTTACTATACCAACTAAAGTTTTCCAAGAAAGATGCCAAACAATATTTTCCAATGTCCTTTTACTTCACAACATTTTATACATATATACAGGTTCATTTATGTTTTTGCATTTTAATACTCATGTCACTGCAGGGGCTCAGGAGACTCCCAGCATCGATTGTCCTGAGGACGGGCTGTCACTACAGGCTTGTCCCACACACCAACACCCACTCTCTTCTGCTTCAGGCATTTTCACCATTTTTTCCTCCAACAAACTGAAGACACTACACATAAGGAAATAACTATACGTGGCACGATTGTTAAGATGGAGCATGATTTTCTTTAAGAGTTGCTAGCTCTATTCAAGTGGCTCTTCGTGTTCGGGGAGATGATAATGACTAATTTGTGGGAAGTAAAAAGCAAAGCTGCGTTTGTTATCTTACACTCGAGTCGTCATATTCTAACACCCTTTTTGACCATAAACATGACTGTTCTGCTCTTTATACTTTGGTTAATTTGGATAGCAGATGTGTTACAGGCAGATGTGGGTAAGTGGTTAGAGCAGTCGTCCTTTAATAGGAGAGCTGGGGGTTTGATTCCACCAGCAGTCACATGTTGAAGTGTCCCTGGGCAAGACAGTGAATCCCTCATTGCCTCCGATGTGTGTCCCATCAGTGTATGAATGTGATCTAAAGCACTGATTAGTCTACAGATTCAAATTAGCGTTGTACAAATCTAGTAGAGTGCTGTATGAATGGGTAAATGAGGGTACATGTAGTATTGTAAAGTGCTTTGAGTACCTTGACTAGATAGAAAGGCGCTATATCAGAACAGTCCATTTACCATCCATTTTACCATTTAAAAGTTCCGCCTGAACGTCCTGTTTCAAAAGTAAATGCATTTTCCACATAGGAATACATACCGGTAGTCTATTCCCATCATCGTACTTCTCATGTTGCTCCTTTTCTTTGATTTAAAAATGAATATTTAGGAGCCTGAGATAAAACGTATAATCTTTTCAGCCACTTGGTTCCTTATCTTTTAAAGAGAAGAGTTTAAAAAAAATAAAAATAAAATTGGGACAGTCTAATACAGAGCTCACATTCTGAGAACAGAAGAAAGCTAAAACTCACACTTCCCATCAACGCCGTCTCAATATCCGAGATAGATGGCAAACGCTCTTCTAGTTTCACACAAAAAGCAAAGCTAGAATCAAATGGAAACTATTAGGTAGCAATTTGTGTCAAAGTGTAACAGTCAGGATGATGGATGGTTATGCCTGCATGTTCCTCGAAGTATTTGGCTGCATGTATTATACCGTGCATCAATTTATAATCCCGCATTCTATAAGGCCCCACATAGAAATGTGCCGTTTTCCTCCAGAGAGGCCCGTTCATCTTCCTGACTCATGTCATCCCCACTTTTACCGCAGGTGTGACTGTTCGCAACAACCCCTGTCACACTCTCTGTATCCAGGTTACAGTTGCCATAACGACCGCCAGTTGAGTGGCAGTGACTCAGTTTCTGAGCCTAATCACCAACTCACAAGTGTGTTTACAGGCAGATTTTAATGCAGAGCTGAGATTTTCAGAAGGATCTTTGTACGTATTTGACTGTGTCGGGCCTAATGAGACCTCCGGCCTGCTTTACTTTAGTGGAGTCGAGGATGACAGACCTGTGACCCAATTCGCTTCTTGGGCCCAGAGTCTTAAGGAAAGGGACGGATGATATAACACCATTCTAATCCCCTCCTATAAGTTTCTAGGTAACCGTTACTATGGGGACTGACTGTTCAGCCTTCTAGGATGTTGCTAGGCAATGACCTAGTGCTAAAGTGTGTGGTTGCAAATGTGCAGGACTTTCAAGAGCTTCTGTGCATTGTACAAGTCTCCAGACCATCCCTAATATCTTTAGAGTTCACTTCCAAGGATTCAGAGTGTCCTTTAGTCCCTTAAAATGGCACCAATAAATTGTCTGACAGGCTATCTGGAAGTCTTTCATTGGACTTTGACTGCTTTTTCATAAACTGCCCATCCAGTGGACAAGTGAAGGGCAAAGATCAGGTCCCAAAAAAAGAAATAAAGCGCAATCAGTGAATTTTGTCTAAAAGTCATGTCTTTGAGAAATGGGATCTAAAAAAAAAATATCTAACAACCTCACCTAACATACTGTACATAACATTAGGGGAGTGGTATCGCAGAGCTTAGAGAAGACAAGCCTATGGTTGAAGGGTCTCAAGTTCGAATCCCAAGACCAGTACATAAAATTTGCTTCCACCCTCCTTGTTCCCATTGTAAGACCTTGAGAAAAGCCATTAACCCTTCAACTGCTCCCTGGGTGCTTTAGATGGAAGCCCTTTGCTTCACATGTGTGATGGGAAAAGGGCAGAGAATTAATTTAACATATATTTTATTTATTATTATAAACCTTGACAATGACATAAGAGATACATCACCCTTCAGTTGATTAGAATGTATACTAAGTTCTCAACTAATAACTGAGAATCACCTTGTTGAGGCTAAAATTATATTTTCTGTAATAAAAAACAATAACCTTTGTTTTTAATTTATCTCCATTTGTACCTTTTCTCTTTGTCTATTTAGGTCTGTGGATAGCCAGGCGATCTACCATGCTCGTCCCCCCACCCCTCCATCCCCGCAGACAAACATACCTGCCCCGCACACACCTCCACCCTAAGCAGGGAGCAGAGGGATTCACCTTCTCTTCCTTCTTTTCTTCATCCATCCACTCTTTTTCACTTCTTCTCCCGTTTTCCATCTCATCGTTATCCTCCTCATCCCATCTCTTGTACTGTGCCTGCCCGAGGACGACCAGGAGAACCTTTCCCGACTCCGTCACTTTCCCGGTGTTTCATTGGCTGACACTGGTCACATGCTGCCTGCTGCCTTCTCTGATTGGAGCAGGGGAGACGTGGGGCGTGGTTTCGGCCTGTCCTTTCCACTGCGTGTGCCGAAACCTTTCGGAGTCACTCAGCACGCTGTGCGCCGATAAGGGCCTCCTGTTTGTCCCGCCACACGTCGACAGGCGGACAGTTGAGCTGCGGCTGGCGGACAACTTCATAACAGAAGTGGGCGGGAATGACTTTGTCAACATGACGGGACTGGTTGACTTGACTCTGTCGAGAAACACCATCCACCATATCAGACCCATGGCCTTCTCTGACTTGGAGAGTTTACGCTCTTTGCATCTGGACGGTGAGCAGCAACGACCTTTGTGCCAAAAGCTGTTAGCCTAAATTGTTCATAATCGACTAGCTTAACTGGGAAACTATTAAATCAATTGAAAAGGATTGGTATTGTCCTCTTTTCTCCTTAGGTAACCGCTTGACAACACTTGGCCCCAAGGACCTTTCGGGTTTGATCAACCTACAACACTTGATCGTCAACAACAACCAGCTGGTTAAAGTCTCTGTTGAGACTTTTGATGATTTCCTGCTCACTCTAGAGGACCTTGACATGTCCTACAATAACCTCAGGAGGTAAGGACTCAAGTTTCAGGCATGCAAAAAATAATAAAAAAAGACTGGTTAGATTCCAAAACGGAGTAGCAACATCCGGTACAATTGTCTAAGTTACAAAGACTATGAGAAAATGTAAAAAAATAAATAAAATAAAATAAATGCTGATGCTAGAACTGAAAGCTCAGAAAACTGAATCAGTTCTGATGATGTTATACTTTTCTTTCACTTCAATTTGGTTAAGATCCGATGAGGCCATTCTCAAGCTCACTCCTCTGTGAATGACGGTTACTGCCGACGGTATATTGCTGAAGATATTGTATATGGTTCATTTCGCTCATCTCGTTATACGACAATGGAGACTCTTACAGCAGGACCATTATCACGGACTAAATAGAAAGACTGAAGAATAATTATAGCCTCTTCCCTTTTCATATGGGCACACAATGCAGACGAATTCAGCAGCAATCGGCTGTCAATTGTGATTAAGATGTTTCAATTGTTCCCTGAACAGAAACACTTTGGCCTGTCTCCAGCCTCCGTCACACCTCGAGAAAAGTGCAGAGTTTCAGTGATGTGCAGAGGAGCAGCTCCCGTTTCTAATGGTTATTGAAGAGTCTATTCTCGGTGTCAAAGAGCTGGTGTCATATTTAGTCGTGGTTAAAAATGCCCCAGAAACAAATCACATCGTGCAGGAAAAACGTATTGAGGTTGGAGTTATACCTCATAAAAATGGGTTACTCATACTGCTTTATTTGTTTTTGCTAAATTACCCTAATTATTGGTGAACTGCTCAATACAGCTTTATTACAAACTAAATCATTTGAATTATTTCAGGCTAAGTTTTCCCTAAAGCAGTGGCTGATAAAAGTCTTGTCTTTAGTATTCATACTGTGTCTTGCAAAAAACAAGCCCACAACAACAAGAAACTGTTTTAGGAGCGAGCATTTAGACAGAATATTATAAGCTACAACATCTCACTGACTTTTCTCTTTTCACAATACAATTCACAAGCATAATGTGCAAATTTATTTTTCTCCTACAACTTATCCCCAGAGACATTTGCTCTACAGAAAGACGGTAATCATGTTTAGCAATCGGAGTCCACAGAGGAACTAAAACTGGTTTTGTTCTCTGAGTGGTATATTTTTCATCCACCAGCATGTTTAAGATTGTTGTTGCATGATATCAAATTTATATTATGTCTACTCAGTACAAACTTCCACAGCGTTTTCTAATGATCCAAACCAACCCTGAACAGTCAACCCTGTTTTTACGTATTCATATCATACCAAACCTTTTGGTTTTTGGCAGATCTAGTTGTGAAAGACAAACCAGGACAAAGACTGGAAGGGAAACTCGATGCCACCCATCATCAAAAACTGTTCTTTATTCTAACCTTCTAGAAGAAAGCATGCAAAACACCAAGATTAGCGGCACAGTAGTCCCTCGATTATCACGGGGGTTATGTTTCAGATGCCACCATGATAGGTGAAAAACGGCAAAGTAAGAACGCTGTTTATTTTTGTATTTATATATATTTTAAGGCTTTAAAAACCCTTCCCACACTCTAACAATGTTCTAAACTCTTAAACCTACATAATTTTAACATTATGTACTGTATAATACTGCAAAATTTTATATGGGTAAAATGGTAAATGGACTGCACTTACAGTATATAGCGCTTTTCTATTTTATTAAGATACTCAAAGCACTTTACACTACAATCTGTGCCCTAATTTACCCATTCACACAGCACTCTACTATACCTTTACGATAAAATAAAGATAAGACTTTATTGTCTACCAAGGTGGAAATTTTCCTTAATCTCTCCAACCATAAAATAAAACACATTCATACAATCAAAAATAACAATTTGTACAGAGAACAAAACACTTTGCATACCATAGATAAATATTATAATTTGGCTTGGTTAAAAATGGTTATTGCACTCGGAATGAATTACTTCTTATAGATGTTCTTTGTTGCCAGAGGGACCCCATAACGCCTTCTTGAGCTCAGAGGTTCAAACTGACAAAAATAAATAAAAGAGGATGGATGTTATCTGCTCAAATAGTCATTGCCGTCTTCATTGTTCTTTCTGCAAACAGTTGAGACAGAGCTTTTTGTGGTTTCCCCACTATTTTACCTGCCATTGAAACAATTCTTAAGTTTTTTTTTTAGTGTACAGCTCAGATGACCATACCAGGCAGGAAGGTGAAAAGTTAAATCACTCAACAATTGCCTTGTATACAAGCTCTAAAGTTTGCCGACTTACCCCAAGACCATTAAGTCTTCTTAAAAGATACAGTCTCTGTGAACATTTCTTTAATATATACTCACTGTTTTCAGCAAAGGTGAGCTGACTGTCCAGGAACGACCCAAGGTATTTAACATTTGCCACAATTTCAACAAGTTGGCCATAGAGTGAGACTGGCTTCACTTTAAAGTCTTTAAAGTCTACAAAGACTAATCAGTGCTTTATCACATTCATACACCGATAGGACACACTTCGGAGGCAATGATGGGTTCAGCGTCTTGCCCAGGGTCACTGCGGCATGTGACTGGTGGTGAAATAGAATCCCCAACTCTTGCATTGGATGGCGACTTCTCTATCCAAAGCCGCACCAGCTCTACAGACCAGCAGCTCAGATCCAGTTGGGTTCGGTCCCGGTTCGACAGACAAAGCCCACCGCCCCGTCCAGGTTGATGCGCGTGAGGATAATTGAGCTTCAGGAAGCTTCAGGATTATTTGAGACTTTCCTGCCAGTTCTGTGAGCTTGATAGATCGTTACTTTGGACTTTGCGCTGCAGAACTATCCCTTCATTTCGACAGAAAGCAGCGGGTGGAAGCACTGTTGGCTTCTGGGTAGTGTAGTTCTTTTGACTGGTGTTACAGTATAGGCTTATTGAAAGAAAACTACAAAATGGCAGTGCCTATCCAAAGTATGTTTTTCATTAACTTTTTATCCCGTACCATCCCAATCACGAGTAATATTAACGTTGACAATCGTTGAAAAACCACGAAAGTGCGGGTCCGCGAATGTTGAAGTAGCGAGGGACTTCTGTACTCTGCTATAATCAGGTTTACTTTTTACAATGTGTCAAACCCATTAGGAGCTCTAATCATTATGGGTTAATCGGTCTTCCTGGAGTTGTCTTTTTGTTTCACCTTCTAAGTGAGAATATGACCCGACATATATGATAATCATTCTAAATACAAATAACTTTCTTCCTACAGGGTACCATGGGAGTCCATTCAGAACATGGCCAGTCTCCACACTCTGAACCTGGACCATAATTTAATAGACCACATAGCAGAAGGAGTGTTCGGGGAGCTGTATAAGCTGGCACGGCTGGATATGACCTCCAACAGGCTCCGAACCTTGCCTCCTGATCCACTCTTTGCAAGGTAGCTCTTAAGATTTGCAGGTTCTTTTAGAAGTGGCTTAATGGAAACAGAGGTGGGAGGAGAATCCTGAGCTAAAAACGTGGGTTATAGATCAGCATTGATCTGGTACAAAAACCACACAAGGAGATAATGTACTTTTCTGTATATTTTGTTACTTTAAGCACTTAATCTGCTCCTTTACCAACTATACTCGATTATTACATGTCTTTTTGAGGTAAACAACAAAATTATTAGGAAGGTGCAGTCTAATGTCAGGATAAAGTCGCAACAATGACAAAGAGTTGGTGAAATTATTTGTGACACTGGTGATCTGTACAAACAAGTTAAACCATTGTCTTATTTCTGCCTTAGTTTGATTTGTTACAGGTTTGTGTTATCACTAAAATACTAGTATTTTAAAATGTGTGTACATTTAGTCAAGATCAGGTGTCAAAACTTGCAATTTTACATCAAAATGTCACCTTTAATTTGACTTAATATGCCCATTTTTACCTTTTGAAACTTTACAGCATAATAAGTCCGCTGTACACCTCTAGTTGTATTTTCTTTGCTTTCACTTTTACTCCTGTCCCCAATTATAGTTGGCGTTGCATGTGCTGTAGAGGCCTTCACGACACACAGTGATTTAAGTGTAGCCACTTGGGCTTTATCTCCGCATGCAGCCATGCTAATTAACAGCCTCTTCTCTTTGTAGTGTGTTTTATCACCATGTTTGTTCTGCAAAGTGCCGATTTCCCTCATGCTGCAACCATGATTCAACACTCCTTTTGAAATGTGCTAGTGGCGTCGCATTTTATTTCCTGCTGCTGAATGGTGGGCGATCATGTAATTCTGTGCGTGCATGTTTTTTTTGTTCGTTTTATTTAGCAAAATACGTCTGGACCCAGCAACAAGATTTTTTCTGAACCTTTCAGAACGTGATCATCAGATCTGAAACATATTAACTTGGAGTTAATTCAAAATGGCTGCCTAAATGCTAAACAACCACAGCATTAAAAAAATGGCTACAACTCAGCTAGTTTTTCAGATTTTGAGCTAAAATTTGTTAAAGTAGAAGCCCGTCAAACGCTTTGAACCCCAAGAGATGGAGCAACATTTTTATTTAAAACTCTGGCATGCAGGGTGACGGGTGAAAAGCATTTCTTTAAGTCAGTTACAGAAATACATATACAAATATTTTTGTTTAGCTAAAACTGGTGCTGTGTTTTACCCACTGTGAAAAACTAAATGCTTATTTTGCGTTACTGCACATGGATATGCAAACCAAGTATCATTCAAGTCTATATAGGTGCATCAACCTAGGTGAACTGATCTCTTTTCTACTTCTGCCGTCAGGTCGCAGACAGGTGCAATTAGTCCAACTCCCTACAATGCCGTCATAAGCCTAAACTTCGGGGGAAACCCACTCCACTGCAACTGTGAGCTGCTTTGGTTGAGACGACTTACCCGAGGTGACGACATGGAGACGTGTGCCACTCCCGCACACCTGGCTGGAAGGTAAGAATCTGACACATTGCTCTTTATTCCAATTAAGGCAGCATTTTTACGTTACAAAAATCCAATCACAAATGTGCTTTGCCTAATATACCAAATGTATCAAAGCTTTTCAGTTTATCTTGCAAGTTCTAACCTCCATATAAAACTTGCAAGTTTTATGGCACGTTAATGAAAGTATGTGCGTATAATATGACTGAAGTAAAAATATGCAAAGACTGACGGAGAAAACAAGGAACATCTGGTACTGTCATCTGCCAATAATTACCCTTTGCTTAGTTGTGTTATGAGTGTAGCATTAAAATGGTACATACTGTTGTCTGATATTTAACAGTAACATCCGTAATTAGTAAAAGTGCCTTCATCTTTAATTTAAATCAAATTAATTTCATAAATATATCCCTTAGGCAAGAAACATTCTCTCACTGACTTTTTTTATTCCTTAGGTATTTCTGGTCGATTCCCGAGGAGGAGTTTACTTGCGAACCACCTCTCATCACCCGGCACACACATAAGCTGTGGGTGCTGGAGGGTCAGCGTGCCACACTAAAATGCCGTGCCATCGGAGACCCCGAACCGGTGGTCCACTGGGTTTCACCGGATGATCGCATTGTTGCAAACTCATCCAGGACCAGCTCCTTCAGCAACGGGACCTTGGATATCTTGGTGACGGTCGCACGGGATGATGGTGCGTACACGTGTATTGCTATCAATGCAGCGGGCGAAGCTACTGCCGCTGTGGATCTGAAAATAATCCCACTGCCTCACCGGGGTGGGGGCACTGGAAGCACTGGGGTTAACAGCGTTAACGCCAAGAACACCAGGAATGTGACCAGCGTTTTACGAACTGACCCGGGCTTGTCGGATATAAGCACGGGGAAAAACGGAGGGATTAACGGCGCTGCGGGACGAGGAGGAGAGGCAGACGATGGGAGTAAGAGAGATGCGGACGCTAATGAAGGCGACGGTGGAAAGTTCTCTGAAGGGGAGAGGACTGATGGAGGGAGCATGGAGGATGATGAAGGGGGTGAGGAGGAGAGCAGATTGGTTGGAGTACAAGGAGTAACGTCCACTTCAGCTCAGGTCCGATGGGATTTGGGACGTTTGTCTGAAGCCTACGTTGTCTGGATGTATCAGATACAGTACAACTGCACCGTCGATGAGACGCTCATCTACAGGTCAGTCAAACCCCATCACATTTACACACACACAAAGAGAAGAGACAAATACTTAACAGGTCATATTTCATTATCGTTTAATATCCAGCTTCAGGTCCTTTGTCATTGTTGCCATCTCAAAAAAGCCTTTAACCACTTAAATATTTATAAGTGACAACATGACACTTCAGTGAAACTGTTCACTCATCCCTTGAGCCACCATGTATCCATGTGGAGGATGAACATAGAAAAAAAGATTGTTAATAATATATTACCACGCGACATCAAAATGCTACAAGTGAACTGTCTGTGTGCAGAATGGATGAACGTTAACAAAAATATGAACCGTTATTAGAAAATGGTGAGAAATTTAAAAAGAACTGTCAAAATGTTGCTATACAAGCTCCTGAAACGTTTCAGATTTGAGAAAAACCTTAAATCTCATTTCAATTTCAAAGTATAGACCCTTTGATCCGACATAATTGAATCCGAAGTCAGACATATTGGAGACGTAAACGGATGAATACGAACTAAAGTAAGTGCACTTTGATGCAAGCGGTTGATTTTCAACCGTTTCTGTCAAGAGGAGCTGATTTATCCAGAGCTCAGTATCTGCAGAGCATTTAACTGCATCTCAGCACGCACTTACCAGAACTCCAATCATGTTCACTTCAACACCGCAGCCCCATCTTTAAGTCATCCTGGCTGTAGGGTTCCTTTGAATGGCTTCAGAACATCTGGGGTGTAGGGGTTTGGCAGAAATATTAAGTTGTTCACGGTATCTTGATAGGTAATCCTGAAGAAATGGACGAGCATTCAAGCCTAACATTGCATACAGCTCTCCAGTCTCAACTGCATGGCTTATCACTCACTTTTAAGCAAACTTACATTTCGGAAGATCCAATTGACTTTAAGGATATCTTTTTTTTTGACACAATTATAAAAGCATCAATTTCTACACACAAATAGAACATTGCTTTGTTTACCATTACAAGTACTTCCTTAACTGTGGCACATCCAGGACTTTGACTTTAAAGGCATCAGTGAAACGGTAAGCACCGAAGCGGTCCGATTCAAGGAAACAACCCATCTAACCATCTGAATGAGGGCTGAGAAAACTAACACAAAGGAGTCTTGTGTGGCTTCTAGCCATTTGCTGTAGTTACATCTAAAAGGGCACTTCCTTGTTCATGAATTATGTCTGTGCACACTTGGGAGTTTACTGCCTCTAAATTTACAATCTCAGCCTGATCAAACATTTATGTTTGGGGTCATTGCTACTGCACGACAGTGACTCAAACAGTGAGAAAGGAAGAAATGATCAGGCGAGGCTTGGCCGGCTCAGCTAAGACTGTTGTATGCATTTTTTCCCCCTCCTTCTCAATTTGGCAACAATTTGGACATTCTTTGTTGCTTCCCTTAGGTATCATAAAGAAGGCATTAGGCAGTAAGTGGTATTGAGCAGGGTTGTGGGGAACGGGTGTAACAAGGCGTTGACTGGGAATCTAAAAGAATGAATAGGTTCAATCACGAGTAAGACTGGACAAATGGGTGAATATAGGATGGGAATAAGGCTCGAGAGGAATCTAAGTGGCAGTTCTCTGAAGACTGAAGGGCTCGGCATACTCCATCCAAAAACTAAAATTTGACTCAGTCACATGGTTGCGGGGCTGTTCATTTTCGGACATACCTTGCATAGTCCGTGAGGCAGACTCAGAAGTCTTGGAAAACCCATCTCGCTACAGTATACGTCAACGCACAGGTTTCTTCCTGCCAGGGTCTCCACTCAGTCCCTGCATCCACCATTTGGCCACAAATATGTCATTAAGAAAGTACCACACTTTTCAGCAGTCTTCCATACACAATGTCTGCACGATCTCCATCCAGGAGTTTTGGGCTATTTGACTAATTTAGCGTGTTTGGTTGTAAAGATGGGTGTCCGAGCGCATTTCCGCATTGACAAAGACGACAAAAACCTTATGAAAATCATAAAATACTTGGCGCGTACGGCTGAGAGAAAAAGTTCGGCTCGGGCCTCGTTTGAGAAGGGACGGACAAAGCTACTCTGAGGACAAAATTACGTGATTTTTTTTTTTCCACACAACTACGTCAATGAGAGCCAATTTTGCCACTTCAGATGGAGTATGCAGATCCCTTGAGGGAGAAGGGGAAGAAAGATTGGCTACACCCAAATCACCTTAAGACAGAGATAAAGAATGGGTGACGAAAGACAAACTGACGGGGACTGAAGGTAGAAAGAGAGGTGGTCTCAAATGCTCCATATAGCCAAAGGAAGGAGGTAGGGTAGGAAAAGGGGAAGTAAGATGTTAAACTCCATTGAAATGTAGAAAGACAAAATAAAGATAAGAATTTGAAAGAACATGATATGATAAATTAGTTCAAACACATTTGAGATGGGTAAAGGAAAAGAGGTGCCCAAGGAAATGAAACTACACAAACGAGTGCAGATTCTTAGCAACCTCACGACACAATTGTGGCAATCGCATGTAGAAAACTAATTAATTGAATGAATTAAATGAACTGAATGAGATCTCTGCTTCCGTTCTAATCAGCTCTGTTAATCCCTTAATAGATAAAAACAAGCTGTTAAAAGCGAACAAGCTTGAAATTTTAAAAACTTAATATCTTGAATATTCAAATGTCTGTATAATGTTTTTTTTAAAAGACAAAACAGTGGTGCTTTCTTAAGCGGATCTATTTCTATCAAAAACTTCTGATCTTATTTTATGAAAACCACCTGCAACCAAAGTATCATTTGGCGAGTTACACTGAAGAGGTTAAAAAAATGTAAATATGAACATTAGAGGGGTTTAAAAACCAATAACTTTGCATATTTTACCATATCTGACAATATTACTTTTGGATTAAAGGTTTCTTTTTTTTTAAAAATAAAAAAAATATTTCTATTCAATAATAGCAATGTGTAGAAATTAAAATTGAATTTTGAAGATAACCTTCAATTAAATCAAATTTTTTCTAAACTTTCTAAACTATGAGATTTTTTTCCAGTCTTTCTTGTCGTAACATAGCATGCTTGATAAAAATGTGTTTTCCCAATAATCTTTACGCTGTAAGACTCTGTAAACTATCTTATAAAAAATATCTGCAAAACAAAAATTTAAATTAAAACATAAAAAATGTCAACTAAAAATATGGTTTTAACCTTTAACCCAAAGCTTTTAGATGTCTTTGTCCAAGATGCTTAATTTAGATTTCCTAGAATTTCATAGATAAAATGCAGGTTTTCATCAACTTATTTAAAAGTTGTTTAATTTTCAATTAAGAATATTGGGTGCGGGATAGAGATTGTTCAGGGTCCATATGTTGCCCACGTCTAGATTAGAGGATAGATTAGCCTCAGCTGTACAACCAAAAATAAATAAATTAGGGATGCACAATATTATCGGCATTGTACAGTATCGTATCGGCCGATATTAGCATTAAAGTTAAATATTGGACATCAATCAACCTTTATTTATACAGGTAAATCCCATTGAGCCTCGAGGACTCATTTACAAGAGAGACCTGATTTCAACAAAGAAAGATGACAACAATGGACAACAGCAACAACAATAAGCAGTTATAAAAACTCATACTACAGTTTTTTTTTAGTTTTTTTTTTAACAAATAGGATGGCTAAAAGGAAAAAGGTAACAAAACAAAAAAAACAGCTAGATTCCAAGACAAATGTATAAAACTAAAAACAGGAACATGTCTGCATTGGTCCCTGCCAGGAGTCCAACAGATTCTTAAAGCCACTTAGAGAGGTCAAGGTCGAGAGCTTCAAATCTTTTTGTAGGATATTCCAGGAAACAGGAGCGGAGTAGGAGAAAGCCCTTTTGCCTAGTTCAGTCCTCATTCAGGGAACACTGCAGGTAATAATGTCCTGAGAGCGCACTCCGTAGCTGCACTCACGCAGAGACATGTAGGAGGAGATGTATGAAGGCA